GCTGCCAGCCCAGAGCCCGGGTGCCAAAGGAAAGCCAAGCAGGCAGCTGTGACCTCAGCCTGCAGCACACAGCAGGCAGGGGAAGAGCTCAGGGGAAAGCTGGTGCAGCTTCTACCAACCCCTTCCAGGAGTCACGTCCCCCAGCGCTGGGCAGAGCACGGAATTCAGTGGGCTTTGGGAGCTCTTCCTGGAGCTGATGCTCTGGTTCTTCCTCGCGGAATCCCAGATGGGTTTGGGTGGGAAGGGACCTTCACAGCCCATCTCACCACCCCCCTGCAGAGAGAAGCTGGGGGGAGGGTCTGCGGAGGGGGACACGGTGGGGCTGGGGGTGGGATGCGTTCAGGTCCCACCTTTGCTCGGCCAGGCCTGGGAGGAAAAGGAGGCTTTGAAGACTGGTGAGAAAGGAGCTTTTTAGTGAAACCTTAATCCCCTCCGAGAGCTTTCCCTAATCCCCAGTAACGCTGTTCAAAGCCGCCTTTCAAAGGCACAATTGCACTTTCTGGCCCTGTCTCTCCCCTTCCCCGGGGAACTGCCCGGGGGTGTTCCTCGCTGGCTGTTGCCTCTCATTTTTCTCTGATAAATAGAAGTAATTCCTTTAAAACATAATGGAAGGAGCAATTTCCTCAGCAGGTAGCGGCGAGTCTGGCTGATGGACTTGGAGAGATTTCTGCTGTCAGGGACTTACTTTCCCTTTATTCCTCCCCCTCCCTGGAGCAGGACCACAGCCTTTCCCCCAGTAACCAAAGGTAAGACGTTTGACTCCAAAATCCAACCTCTTAAAGGTGGAGGAGGGAGATATTGCAGGAAACAAACATGGAAATTTCTCTCAAGAAACCATTTTTTTAATTACTAAGATTCCTGGCCCTGCCATGGGCTCTTGCTCCTCCCCACACTTGGTCTCCAGCCCCTTCCCCAGCCTCGTTGCCCTTCTCTGGCCACGCTCCAGCCCCTCAAGGTCCTTCTGGGAGCAAGTCCCCCAAAACTGACCCCAGGATTTGAGGTTGGGCCTCCCCAGTGCCCAACCCAGAGGACAGTCCCTGCCCTAGTGACTGAACGATGCTCCTCGGCCTCTCTGCTCAACTCTGCAGCATTTTAGGGCAGAAAACCCTGATTTGGAGAGCGGCTGGGTTGTCGCCAGCTCACCCGGCTGCCTGCCAGCAGGACGGCACCGTGTCACATTCGGGTCCGTATCCATGTCGCTCTGACTCGGTTAATTTTTAATTTCTCCAGCAAGTTGATACCTTGTTCCCTGCAGCTGCCCGCCCGGTCCCGGCCACGTTTCACGTGTGGTCTCCCAGCTGGAGCCTTCTCCTCT